AAATTCTCACTTATCTTTCTCAAGCTCAAGATCAACTCCAAGAAACTGTGATTGCTCCAAGGAGAAACCCTACCAGATATAGGCATCCACCTGCAAGGTTTCAACAGTATGTTGCTTATACTGCAAGGCATCCTATTTCTCAAGCTGTTACTTATAAAAACTTGTCTCCATCTCATGCATCTTTCCTTAGTCAATTGTCAAATGAAACTGAACCTAAAAGTTTTAAGAAGCTAGTGTCAATCCAATATGGTAAGAAGCAATGCACGAAGAACTCAAGGCCTTGAATGATAATCGCACATGGAGTGTTGTCAAGCTTCCCCAATGGAAGAAAGTTGTGGGAAGTAAGTGGATTTACAAGATTAAATTTCACTCTGATGGTGCAATTGAAAGGCACAAGGCTAGAATAGTAGCTAGAGGATTCACTCAAACATATGGCATTGATTATAAGGAGACATTTGCTCATGTTGCCAAGATGAACACTGTGAGAGTTCTACTTTCTATGGTTGTTAATCATGAATGGCCCTTGTTCCAAATGGACGTGAAGAATGCCTTTCTTCATGGTGACCTCGAAGAAGAGGTATAGATGAGATTACCACCAGGGCATCCTCAAGAGAATGAACCTATTATGGTTTGCAAACTTCACAAGCCATATACAGACTTAAGCAATCTTCTCGTGCATGGTACTCCAAACTAAGCTCAGTTTTGGAAGCTACATGATTCAAAAGAAGTCATGCTGATTCTTCCTTATTTGTATGAATTGGTTCAGTTGGTAAACTTGTGGTACTTATATATGTTGATAATTTGATCATTACAGGAGATAATGTTGATGAATTTCATGCTCTCAAGCAATCTCTTCACCACAAATTTGCAATCAAAGATTTGGGAGTTCTCAAATATTTTCTTGGGATTAAGATGACTACTTCTAATAAGGGTCTGTTCTTAAATCAAAGAAAATATGTCTTCTTGAAGAGGCAAAAATGATGGACTCCAAACCTGCTCGTACTCCTCTAGTCAGCAAGCTCAAGTTGGATGTTGAAGGAGAACCCCTAACTGATCTCAGCACTTATCAAAGATTAGTTGGGAAACTCATTTATCTTACTATTACGAGACCCGACATCACTTATGCAATGAGTCTCATTAGTCAGTTCATGCATTATCCTACCTCACTTCACTGGGAAATGGTTAAAAGACTTCTCAGGTACCTTAAAGGCTTAGTGGGAAAGGGCATTCTCATGAAGAAAAATGGTTCAACTCACATTATGGGCTACATCGATGCTAACTGGGTAGGTAATGCCCTTGATCGCAAATCTACCACAGGTTTTGCACCTTTGTTGGGGGCAATCTTGTTACATGCAAGAGCAAGAAGCAAGCTGTGATAGCTAGGTCAAGTGCCGAAGCTGAGTACCATGCGATGGCATCCACTGCTTGTGAGTTTATTTGGTTAAAAAGTCTCCTTGTAGACCTAGGTTTTCCAAACACTCAATCGATGTATTTGCATTGTGATAACCAAGATGCCATGCACATTGCATCGAATTCGGTGTTTCACGAAAGAACAAAACACATTGAAATGGATTGCCACTACATTCGTGCCCAAGTTCAAGCCAAGGTGATTGAAACTATCTTCACTCGAAGCCATGATCAACTGGCAGATATTTTCACAAAAACCCTAGAGGCTATTCAATTTCAAAGGTTGTTTTGCAAGCTTGGATCAATCAACCCCCTTAATCTAGCTTGAAGAGGCGTGTTGAAAGAAGTCATCAGTGGTCAAGGTACAAGTTGCATCTGCAATTTCATCTACTCACATGTGAGTTGCAACCGCCACTATGCATCCTTGTGTCACTTGGTGAATAGGATAAAGCTGCACCTGCAGCTCCATCCCTCCCATGCTGTGTTGCAGTTGCTCCATGCATCTTTCTCCATAGTTTTGGTATTCATGATTTACCTAGAAACTTGTATCTAGTTTAGTTGGTTTAACTAGTGGCCTATTTTAGTGGCTTGTAGCTATTTTTGTCTTTTGCTGCTAGTCTTGCTCGGCCTCTCTATAAAAAGCCCTCACTTATAATTGTCACATATGAATGAATATACAAACAACCATTTGAACTAGAAATCAACAGTTGATTGTCCAAAAAGTAAGCTTGTAATTGTTTTTGTGTCTTTCTTCTTCCACAAGTCATTGCGGTTACTGTATCGATTCTGTCATATGTGTCTGTTTGGTTTTCTCTCTTGTGTCTAGTTACTTGGTGCAGATGATGATAAAGATAAGTTTTGTTGTTCTACTGTTGGATTTTGGGATAAATAGGTGGAATTATGCAGGTTAGGACAGGAATTTGACTTTGGTTTTTTAATGTTATTTATATGACTTGGGAGGTTCTTAGTGTCTGTGGTTTCTTTTCATGAAAGAAGATTTTCGTATCTATTTGGTTTAGTAATTTATTAAAAGCTTAATTATTATCCTATCAAAAGATTTTTGGTGCATGGTTTCTATTAGATTTAAGAAAACCTTTTCATCTCTTGCAAGCTGTTACGTCGAAAATCAGTTTTGTCCTGTTATATTGGATAGTTACAGATTATAACTTTAGGGAGATTGGGTGTATTTTGGTTTTCAATGATCACCAATTCCAGCGATGATTCGAGTTAATTCTTCCCGGTTTGAATTTTTTTAATTTTTTTTCTGATGATGAACAGAGACTAATCTAGCTACAAGGATCATAACGGGAAGTATGATACTCCAATTTGAGTATTTTTTTGGCTTGTATCACTCCTAAATAGTTCGAAATTCCTTGTTCTTCTTTCTCTTCCTCATTCTACGCCAATCCTGCTTGCTTTTGTTGCAATAACACACATAAGTTGTAACATTTATTAGCTTAACATGCTGTTGTCCAGTTAAATCTTTTAACTTCTGTAAGTTGCTATATGAGCATATTTTCGTTCTAACATCCACTACTGTTTCTGCAGGTGGGTTTCCTGTGTACCCCGCTCTGGGAGAGTTAATGCCTCATATACTGACTGTTGAGCGTGGGGAGGTAATGTTAGATACATCTGTGAGAATGTCTCAAGGCCATTTTGATTAGTTATTCTCAATTCTTATGTTCTTTTTTCTCTTTTTGCAGAACATTCTTAGTCAGTTACTTTTATTATCTCAATCAACTAATCGAGCAATGTGCATTCTTTCTGCTGTGGGTGTGGTTTCTATCGTTTGTATCCGCAAACTTTCTGGTTCTTATCTGAGATTCAAGGCATGATTCTCACACAAAATTCTTTTACCAATTCCTTTTCCTTTAATTCATTTATTTCAATTGATTGCTAGATTTTTATTTACAGTTAGTAGGTTACAATTTCCAAACATAACTCGAACTCAACATGACATCAGTTGGTTAAAGTTGACCACTAGTTGAGAAAATTCATAAAACTTTTAACTGGAACGATGAACATATCGCATGTTAGTGTTAAACCTCAAGCAACTGGATCCTGACATGACTAACATTTTAACTGGTATTTTATGAAGAAAATAATTGCTTGAACCTTGTTCAGTGAAGCATTCTATGATTAGCAACTAAGAACCTGGTGAGATAAAATGAAGCCATGGCTAGAGTAATTCTTTCTTCCTTGTTTTCTTCCTTCATGCAGGGTCCATTTCAGATTCTCTCTCTATCTGGAACATTTGTATATGGTTCAATGCGAAACCCACTTGAAAAAAGTTGGATGATAAACGTTTTGCTGGCTAATCATGATGGGAAGGCTTTCGGTGGTTCTGTAGCCGGTTTTATGATAGCTGCTGAGCCTGTTCAAGTAAGTCCTTTCTTTTAACTGTGGAAGTAGAATTACATAATTTGCTTTTACAGTTCCTGTCGTACTATTCTGGAAATCTAATGCTTGTTACGAACTCTAGTTTTTTCAAGTTAAAAAGTGCTTGTGGTAATTCCTTATGACCTTAAACTATTAGCTTGATCTGATAGTTTTATAGGATTTCAAGAATTAATTAGTCCTCTTCACAATCACTCTGAAGTTCCATTACATTTAAAGCAGAACTTTTATAATTACTGTCACTCTTAATTTGGATTGTTTTGATCTATCAGATTGTTGTTGGAAGTTTTGAGCAAGGTACTAGAAAAGAAAGGAAAAAGAGCTGCCGGGCCGGATCTTCTTACCCATCGAGGGTGCCAGGAAATGCAGGCATTACAAGGGCTACGCCCTTGATAATGATTCCTCCAAAGGCAAAGAACGATGAGATATGCACTTCACCTGCATCTGCTCTCTTGGAAACTCCGGCCAATAGTGGATCAGGTCATCTCATTGGTGCAAACAGCATCAATCCTGCTTCTCTACCGAGTTTTGGTCAGAATGTTAACCCTGCTTCTCCACCGTGTTTTAATCTGAAATTCAATCCTGCTTCACTACCGGGTTTTGGTCAAAATGTCCCGCAGTCAATGCTGGGTCTAGGAACATCTATTGACATCATCCCTTTTGTTCCTTAGACATAGGGGTAGCTCTATTTCTGTCTCTCTCTCACATACACACACACATACAAAGTCACTGACAAGGGTAAACTGATATCTTTTGTTTTAAACTTGTTCAGGTCTATTATGAGCTTTTGACCTAAAGAAGAAGTGTGTTATTCAGTTTGCAAGCCCACAGTGCAAGATTTCTATCGGCTTTTGATATGCCCGTAAACGAGACCTTGTACCTGTTATCGTCGTTGTTTTTATGTTGCAACTTATTATGGATTTTGCGCTTTGGTTTGGGGGTCGGTATTTTGAACTTTTTGTTGCATGAGGATAGCTTAAGATTTTATGATAGGAAACAGACATGAGATCAAATTTCTAATGCAATCTTATATCTTGAGACATTCGAAATTAAATCATGGATATTTTTGCAGTAGAGATTATTTCGCACCTACTTTTGCAAAGATGGCACAACATCATACATGGACGCATTATATTGTTGATTTCAACCATTTGTTAGATTGCAGATTGTCTTGCACCTACTGTTGCAAGTAAAAATAAGAATCGCTGCAAATAGCAGATGCATAACATTATGCACACTGGAACGGCGATCAAATGCTTTAGTTACAAGGGAAATCCAATCTACGATCTACACTTCATCCAGCTTGTCTATACCACTTGAGCGAAAGCAAGCAATATTCGCTTAATGGTGTTCATACATTAGCAAACAACCGATAAGTTTTGGCATCGAGGCTTATTTGTCTTACAGCAGCAATTGCAGCTAGAACCCCCAAGATTGAGAAAACCACTGCAATAGTGGTGTTTAACACGAAAATGGGGCTTCTTTTAGATGGCTTGAAGGTTAAGTTATAGAGCACAACAGGCAAGATGAAGTCAAGGGGGATGTAACCAAAAGCCCCAATAACCGCATTGATGTCCCCAAAAAATGGAAGCATTGCTGCTATAATGGTTGCTAAGATGACAGACATCGAGCGAGATACTACTCGTGGGATCACATTGCGAGCAGAGAACTCTTTGCTAGTTGGATCTGCAAATGCTCGCTCAAGAACTTCGTTTGTGGGCTGGAGATAAACCTGCAAACCAAGCAACTGGATTAGTGTTTTGCTCCATGTTTGAAGAAGAGATTTTGGGTGGTGGTGTTCGATTAATTTCTTACCACGCCAACCGCTGATAGTTGGAGTATGGTGAAAAGGTTGATCATGACGATGATCCACTTTGGCACCAAAGGTTTGCCATCATCCAAGAAGTTGCTAAGGATGAGGCCTTCAGATTGGTTGCCAAATGCCCAATAGCCAGAGATGGTAACACTGAAGAAAGTCATCGTCACTACTGCATAACAAACACAGAGTCCCTTGAACATCTTTCCCTTCACTGGTGGTGCTATTGTTGCCTATTACCAAAAATCCTACAATTATAGTTCCGAAAATCCAGAAGATAAAGTTACATGTTTGAGCTTACTAGGGTGTGTTTGTGAGTAGTTTTGATCATTCCAAAAGCACTTTTGGCTGTTAATGGCTGAAATATGAAAAATTGATTTTCTGTTGGACTTTGGGTGCTTCTTGTACAAGGATCTGATAACGCTTTTCTATGAAATGATTTCAGGTAAATATGCAAGAAGCACTCGAGTTTTTAATAAAATAACATATGTGCTTCTAACAAATCACCACCTAATAAAAACACTTTGTTGCAAGTAGCACTTCCAAACATGTTTGGTACTAATTCCTAAGAATATGAGAGGGAAGTAAGGACAATTGGAATATTTTGAACCTGAATTTCTGGAATGATTCCATTGCCAAATGTTGTAGCAATGATGGCATTAGCATTAAAGACCCCAAAAACTCGACTTTGAATGTTGCCATTCAAGGAATAGTTCTTATGTGGCCCCTTGGAAGAACTTCCTGGAAAAAATAATTATATTCATTCGTGTAAGTTTTCATCTATTCTAAATTATGGAAAGAGTGATACGAATTCAAGCACCTATGGGAAACATAGTTCTTTAGTCAACTTAACTATGCCCAAATAACCCATAAGGCAATGAACTTGATTTTAGTGACTGTATGTCCTGTTTGGCAATGTAGCAAAAGACATTACCAATGTAGATGCAGGCAGCAGTGGTACAAGCACTATATGCTAGGCAAAGAAGGACAGACACCAAGTTAATGTGCCTGAGTGAGTGAAAAGATGGGATTTGAGCCAAAAGCAGCATTAAGCACCCAAATATGATCATAAACTCGTATAGCTTCATAGTCCCATTTGGGTTGGTCAACAAGTAAACTGCCTGCATAATTATAAAACATGAAAGTTTTCAAACAAAAACAAAGTTGCCAGCTGAGAAGAATCATAATATATATGAGTGGAAGCCTTAAAAAAAAAAAATCTTCTACCTAGTGAGGGACTGAGTCGTTGAAAATTTTCTTCGTTAAGAAACAAAAAAGCAATGTCACTTGCTATTAGACACTAGTGGTATCTCTTTCTACTTGTAAGTAGAAGATCTTAGATTCAAATCTTGTCGTTTGCAAGTTTGCAATTTATTATGACTCGCTCATCGTGTGACTTATCGCGAATTCGCCTCCCTTTAATGTACATAATATCAACGTGCTCAAACAATAGAAAACATAAAAAAAATAGAAATAAAGAAGGTGATAAAGAATTAATCGGATTACCTTCATGCATTGTCCTCCCAAAAGAGTAAAGGCCACAACAGCACCATAGCATACTAGGAATTGAATTGGTCCGACAAAATAACGACTCCATCTCGGACCTGTGAGATTCGATTTGTAACGATGACATATTGGCAGAAGTTTATTTTTCCACTTATAATATGTGAATGTATGCATTTTAAACACTGATCACCCTAATTACTTTGTATTATTGTTTAATGATATTTATTTTCACCTTTTACAGGTGAGATTTTTTAGAATCGAACATAGTGGATTTCGAGTATCACATACCCCTTAACACAGGAACGAATATGATCATGGATTCATTGCGGTACTTTTTGATCATGCTAAAATTAAGTTTTTGGATACAGTACGTATGAATGTCAAACAATCAACCCTGACACATCTTCCGACATTAAGAAGAGAAGTGTGACTTCATCAAAAGTTAATTGGTCATCAATATATCAATATTATTCAACATGTTTTCTTGCTAAATCTTCTTTTCAATATGGGCAAACCCATTTTCTTTTGGTAAATAAAAATTGACAAGGGCCATTTGGCCTGTTTCAAAGTTAATGGCAGACAAGCCACATTCCACATGAGGAGAGGAAAATGTCTCTAATACACGTTAAATAAATAGAGCCTCTATAAAATATTTATGTATAGCCTTGGATTTCATTTGACTTGTTTAATCTAATGACTATAAATAAAAAAGAGAGTGTAAAAACCCCTTTTCTTGCACCTTTTTTTTTTTATTTTTTATTTTAAGACAAACAATAATAGATACATCAAGGGGGGGGGGGTGGTGAGAGAATGCACTAAGCCTCACATTGGATCTGTCATAATGATGTGGTTCAACTTTACCTTTGGCAAGTTAACTAAATCAGGTGTTGGTTGTGTACATTATTGTCATTGATGCATCTACAGATTCTACACTTACAATTGCTCTCTATATTTCTTTAAGAACAAACAATATTTTACATTATTCTCCACTAAGAAAAAAAAGGGATTGGTTCAAGCTAGAATGCAACAAGTTGAAGAAAAAAGATCCTAACTATCAAGATAATCTACCACTTACTAAAGTTGCTATATGTATTAATATCATATGTTTTATTTTGATATCAATATTTAATACCCATCAATCATATTCATATGCCTCTAGTGAGAGGAAAGAGACCACTAGCTTGGGCTACAACTAGTCAAAAACCCATGTGAAGCTAAGATTAGTACAAATTTATGTAGGATAGGGCACCCATGATATGCAATAATAAACTCGTAGGCAATGTGGGTGGGCGATAGACTACGTGGCATATATATGTCTACTTGAAACCGCTCAATTTATTGCGTAAACATGTATTATTAAAAAGGAAAACTAATGAAAATGGTTTGAAAACTTTGAGTTTTAACGATAAGAACAAAATAAAAGGTAAAGTAAATAGTACCAGAATTGACTTTATAGTGTAAAAATGTGGTTTTTCGTTAAAGTAAACAGTACCCAGAGGTTTTCGTTAAAGTTCCCTTATTAAAATTTAAACTTTGAATAACTTTAAAAATTATGAGTAACTATGAGTTAACTGTGTTCTTCTGGTAAATGTGGGCGTGCCAACTTGAGACCAAGTTCGGTCAAACAAGTAGAATAGGTGTGGTGGTGGTGGTATTGGATGCGATGCGACTTCTGCACTTGAGCAACTACGACGGAGGAAGGAATACGTCTCGGCCTTGGGTTCTAGAAATTAAAGACAAGGGTGCCTAATTATCTGCAAAGTTTAGGATCTACTGCACCAGGTTTGGCTGACTCAACTTTACTCGTGAAAGTACAGGTGCGCCCTAGGTTTTAAGGGCAAAGGTACTAAAACACTTCACTTTGCTGGGAAGTTAGTGAAAAGACCTCTTCGGGCAAAATAATTAAGAATTCTTCACCTACCAAGACTTGGATAGATAACTAACCAACTTAGAAGCGGTGCTATTCACTTGTCCAAACTGTGTTCCTACGCTGTTTGAGCATACTACTCCATTGTTGTTTACTTATTCAAATTGAAGATGTGTTGACAGGAGGGTTAAGATTGTTAGTATTTCTCTTAGGATGTGAGAAGGGTTTCACCTAGAGTGTTTGAGTTGTTTGTTGAGTTGAAGGCTTTCATGTTGTAGAACCTTTTCTATTTATAGAGATGAACTTCATGATAAATAAGTCGCCAAGGTAGAGTCCATATAGGATTATGTTTACTTGAATATTCTCTCTTTATCACTATAATCACTTCCTTAGTCAAAACTCATCTTTATCCAGTCCTGACATCTTTGATTTGAACCAGGATTCTGAACCTAACCCCTTTGTGCACTTAATTCATCACTATCTGATCAAGAATGAATTATGAATTTTAGAATAATTTGCACCTCATATGAGCCCATCCTTATCCTTGGCAGTTTTAATTCACTAAGGACTCTATTGAGCCTCACTTAAGCTTAATCTTCCCACAATCTCACTTAAGCTTACTGGTATTTCAGGCCCAAACAGAACCCTAAACTGTAAATGTTGACCTTAAGACTTTTGCAACATTGTATCTACATGTCAAGTAAACTTATAAATATAACAACACTTTTTAACTCTACAAAAAGGTAAGTAGTGGATTGTCCTAGATAGTATGATTGCTAGTAATAACATAAAAAAACTTATTACGACAGATGCACATAATTAAGAAATGAGAGGCCAAAAAAGGGTCTTCAATTTGGTACATACCTAAAATATCATGAGCCATGTCTCTAAATCGGAGATGGCGATGACCCAATTGAGCATAGTGTTCAAGAACCAAAGAGATTAAATTGTACGAATAGAAAGTAACTAATGCTCCGATGACTAAACACAAAATTCCGGCCGCCCATCCGAGGAAGGTGAAAGCGTACGGCAAACTCAGGAGTGACGGAGCAACAATCGATGTTGTCAAGTGATAACCGCAGTGCACCCATGATCCTACATTAACAATATTACTAATTCAAATATTCTGTCTTTTCTTTTTACTTCTTTCCCCCATTTTATATAACAATATTATTTGAAGCTATTTATGAAAAATGATACTAGAAAATTTCAACACAAATAAAAAGACTACAAATAGACATGGAGCAAGCGAGACTATTTCTAGATTAGTTATTGCTAAAAGCATGATAACAGTAACAAAAGTATTAACACTTTTAGCAATAAGTACGCCTGAAACAATCACACTTACTTTGCGATTGTTACCCTTTTTTGTTGTTGTTTTGTTGTTAGCAGTTGCACCAATATATATGGTATCCCTAACATAAATAAAAATCTAAACGGCTAAAAATCTTATAAAACAAGATGTTAAACTCAAGCACATATGTTTACACAACGCAAATTAAGTGGTACGTATGGTCAACAACTCAACATGTACAGTGGTGTGAGAAACAATAACAACCAGAATTTTGAGCCATATGAATTATGAGAGAGAGAGAGAGAGAGAGAGAGAGAGAGAGAGAACAAAAAGGTGAAGAAAAAAAAAAATCAAAGCCATCAATCAACGTGATGAAGATGATAATGACCACGGTGGAAGAGATCATCACAATAATGATAAACAAACAGAAAATGAGCTTCCATTCTAAATCTAATTTTTTTAAATCGAATTACCAGTTATAGTTGAGAGAGCTGAAATTATTTAGACAAGGTTTTTTTTTTTTTTTTAGGTCGAAGATTTATATTTTCTACACGCATCTTTATACATGATATTATTTGAACTTAATATGTGTACAGCATTATATATATTGAACAACATAAGATTACGTATACGAATTGTTCAACTCAACACGTAAATAAAAAAAGGAGGCTCATAATCATTTAAATCATTAGACAATAGTTTCTCTTCCTAATATGAAATTCAACAACCATAATATTTTGTATCTTATAATATGATATGAAGACTTAACAAAGTAGTTTATATGCGTACCTTTGGATTTGAGAACAAAACGAGCACCGGCATCGAGTTGCTTTTGTTCGTGATCATGATCAGCTTCTTCGCGGCCAACTTTTGCATCATCTACTCGATCATCATCTACTGCTACCGATGTTGGTGGCAGCGTCCCCATCTCTCTCTGCCGAAAAACAGAAAACAAAACCAAGAGCAACAAAAGAAGTGGGATGGGATCAGATCTTGAAGAGACTTGGGGTTATATATCAGCGTGTGTACATAATATATAGCCGACATGCGTAGCGCATACAGTCAAAGCAGTCCCTTCGATGATACGCAACTTTCTTCCGTCGTCTCGTCACTATATATTATTGTTTTTCTTTCTAATATAATGAAGAGAAAAAAAAAAACATGTGATATAAAAGGTCTGTAGTGTTGTCAACGTGGCTACGTCTCTACATAACAGTCAAACCCTTCTTGCGAGCTAATTGTAGAAAAAACACCTTGCGTGACCTAGGGACCTTCGTCGTGCAAAGTCAAAAATCGTTGCCTAAGGGTTTGTGTGATGCAACCTTCGTCGAGTGCTAACCGTCGCGCCAAGGACAGTAACAGTAGGGTGTGCGTGACGAAGAAGTAACATGGGCCGTGCAAAGTCACTTTGCGCGACGCGGGACCTACGTGGCGCAAAGTGCCTTAGTGGCTTTGAGCGATGTAGGCATGGGTCGTGAAAACCCTTTCTTTTTTTTTTTGGTCAAAAATATATATTTTTTTTAATTTTTGATAAATATTGTAATTGTTGTAGAATAGTGGATGTCCACTCAAATAATTAAATAATGAGCCCTTCCACTGTTTATCGAAACTTGCCTCATACGACTCCTATTTTCTATATAAATACAAACTCCACACAACATCAAAGAGACAAGTTCACGACAGAGGAAGAGAGAGAAAAGAGGAAAAGGAGAGGAAATAATAGAGAGAGTTATTTTGTATTCCTATAATTCTAAATTATAATGAAAGCACCACTGCTGCTCCGAGGACGTACTCTAGTCACACTGACTGTAGAGGAACCTCATAAATTTTATGTCTTGTTTTATTTGTTCCACTGCACACACCATTGATTTACAACACGTTATCAGCATGAGAAGCTCTCATGTCAATGCAAAGCACAACGCCATAAATCAGGTGTCAGCTAAAATCTCACAGAATAAAAGGTATGTCCATTTTCTGTCTCTCCCACCGCGCTAGAAGCGTTCCACCGAATTTCGGTGAGAATTGAAATTTTACGACCTATAGTCGTAACGAGATGAGAAAACTCGTATTTGATAATTGGTTTCTAGAGATCTAAAAGAATCTCATCAAACTTAGAAACCTAGATCGCGCTGTTTTCAACGGATCTTGAGGACTCCCATGAATCCTCAGTTGTCTGAGATGGTGATGGCAGGACTAACTCCACACAGGCCTCCCTTTCTAGTGTCGCCATCAACCCCGCTGTCCTCTATGTCTCTGTATGGAGGTTCTTGCTTCGCGATGCCATGTTCCCTAGGTCATGCAAGAACAACGCCAGTCTCTGGTAGCCTTTTGGATTGAATTGAATTTGGGCAGCCTCCATAACAACCTAATTGGCCCTGTGTTTCGAGACTGATAGAGAATGAAGAAAAATAATAGAAAAGGGGGATTGATGGAATGGTAAGGCACATGTGAAAAAAAATGGTTTGGAAATGTGTGGTGTTGATTGCACCCTAAGAAAAATACTAATAATAAAATATAAAGGGATTTGAATGGTCCATGGCACCATTTGGTCAAAATAATAAATAAATAAATAAATAAAACAAATAGAGGTTTCTGTTGGTGCATGGCACCATGCTGTAGAAATAAGAAAAGTAATAATAAAAAGGTTTGAATAAGTGTTGACAAAAGAAAGAAAAATAATAAATAAAAGGAGGTTTGATACTTCTTGTTATTTATGTGAATTGGTGTTGGTTTAAAACCCTTTCACAAGTTCTATTTACTTTAAAGCAATTTATTTATCATTGACGGTTTTACCGCCTATTGCTTTAAGTTTGATTTATGTGAATGGTGCTGAATTAAAGCCCTTGTCACAAGCTTTATTTACTTAAATGTAATTTATTTACTATGGCTGGAATTGCCGCCCATTGCTTTAATTTATTTATTGTACTTATCTTTTGTTACGATGAGTATATACAGGACCTGAAGTTTCTTGGTCAGATTAGAACCTGCAATTTCTTGATCCTCATCATATAAAAATGATTGGACCCAAAGTTCCATCATACAAAAAGATTGGGCATGAAGTCCCTTGATCCTCAAATCAAGACATGAAGTTCCTTAATGAGTACAATAAGTTTGAAGTGCCGCAGTGCCTCAACTTAATTGTAATAAAGGCCAGAAGAGTCTCAGTCCACACCAGAAGTTCCTTATATCCATACTCAAAATGGTTTAGCAGAAGTATTGATTAAGCGGATGAAATTGATTACCTGCACTCTGCTCATGAAAATGAAATTGCCAAGTTTCTACATGGGGACATGTCATTTTACATGATGCAATATTAATTCGGTTGAGACTTGTTGCCAACCATCAATACTTTTCAGTACAACTCATGTTTGGGCATAAGCCAAACATTACACATTTACGAGTTTTTGGTTGTGTTATCTATGTGCCTATTGCACTACCACAATATACTAAAATGAGACATCATCACAGACTAGGAATTTATGTTGGATTTGATTCATCATCTATCATTCAATATTTTGAACCCTTGACTGGGGATATGTTTACTGCGTGGTTTGCGGACCATCATTTTCATAAGACAATTTTCTCACTATTAAGGGGAGAAAATAACATCGTTCCAGAAGAACAATGAGAAAATATCATTCCACAAGAATGATAAGAAAAGACCGTTCCAGAAGAACGAAGAGAATTTGTCTTATTTTGATTCACGAAGCAATCAATATGAAAATGAAGTAAGAATAATTGAATGATGTGTTAATCAAATGCCAGATCCATTTAATGATGGAACGAAAGTGATGAAATCACATATACTTGCTTCAAATGTGCCTACAAGAATTGATGTCCTTATTGGACAATATAATGAGGCAGTGAATGATTTATCTGTTACATGCCTAACGCGTGGCAGACCCTTAGACTCAAAAGGTTCAGTCATTCGAAAGAAGAAGAATATGACACTATCAAACTATTGCATTCCCGAAGCATAATAACTGTTGCATGCTAGAAGCATGATAGTCGCCGCATGGATACACGCCGCAGAAAGGACAATCCGCAGACATGGGAATGTTGGTGTCTCATGCATGAAGCATGGTAGAAATATATGTTCCAATGACTCAACTCCTGGAAGTGGAGCTTACAATCCAAGCTCTATAACACTCAAGGAGAGGTTATGATCCGCATTCTCTAAATTATGACTATCCTAGAAGAAATAGTGTAATGCCCTTGAAGAGGCAATGGATATCCAAAGAAATGAAAAGCTTTTATGCATGCATATGCGCATGCACATGAGAATATGGGATCACAGACTGATGATAACCAATGGTAATGTTGGTTTTTAGACGTAGCTACTAAATTCTTCAATGAGCTCTGTTGACATTGAGTCCTGTTCTTTTTCCGTAAACAAAATTATTGGCCAAAATGGAGAAAGGCAATTCCATTACAATTTTGTAAGAATGTGGAAAATTAAACTTATATACTTGAATACAATACAAATAGCCGAAAGATGTTGAACCTAGAAGGTTACATATGGGCATTTGTAATACCGTGAAATACTCTCACATGATATGGCACAAGGTTGTAAAGGAGTTCATATGAATGGAGAATTATATACGAAGGGTTGTACGCCGCCCACATGATGTCTCCATTAGTAAATCCCTTAAGAATACATGGAAGCAAATTGCTCTATATAAATTCCACAGAAAAATGTGTCATGAACTGTAGAAAATCCCTGAAGGATTCATATTGCTTGAAGAAAGCCCTGAAAAGGTAAAACATAAAATATGTACTCAATACCAATGGATGGTATAAATTGCCTTAGTGAGTACTATCACTATGATATTGTTGCAACATACTAAAATCTCTTGCAAGAGTCGATAACATTAGATTAGGACTCCTGAAGAGTCTAGAAAGATTATAAAGTGTTGAAAGGAATATTGTCTCGAACTGCAGATTGAACAATATGCCAACACGAGTATTATCCATGATGTTTATGATATTAAGGAATCTTATGGATTGAAGATTATGAGTTGACTACATAAATGATTTAGATACTAAGAATGATCATTTATCTTCAATAGGGTAAAGATAAATTAATATTTGGTCCAGAAGTACCACATCTTAGTGAAGTATATGCTTTATTGTATTTAGCACAATACATTGAATGAAATAAAGCTTATCGATTGATATCTCAGAGAAATTACAGACATGTACATGCACATAAGTTAAAACAAACAGGATGGAGCCTTCACAAAAGTTGCTCATGTGACGCGTTAGTACTCGAAAGTACCCAAAAATGGGAGGCGCCGGAGGTTGATTATTTGGAGCCTCTATACTTGGTAAAACTCCAGATGACAAAGGCAATAGGTGCCATTGGAATAAAGCCTCGAACCTCTAATTGTCACTTTGAGTCCTATTTTCGGATTCTAGCAACTGGTCAAGCTTTCTTTTCATGCTTGTTGACTAATTATTTGTAAGCATGTGTAACACTCTATTCTCGTGCTTGAGCCCTCTGATATCTTGTTTAAGACTTGACACCTCAACTATCAATGATTCAACTTGGCGAGTTCGAGCAAGTAGGCGTTGGCCTATATTGGAAACAGAGGCAGCACACTAAACACTGAGAGCTAAGGAGTCTTGAACGGCCAATTCATTAGACCGTTTTGAAAGGATTCTATTATCCTTTGGAGTGAGAAGATTCCTAGCTACCACTGTAGCGGTTATGTTATTCCTCATCACAGAGTCTCCAATTGTAAGAGGCCATTAAAAGATGAGAAGAACAGGCGCCATATATTATCCTGACACAACTCGTCGATATCCCTCTCAAGACTCAAATCTAAACAAAGGTTAGATGGGCAAGCCATTTTTAGAAATGTTGAAGGAAAAATGAGGTCAGATAAAATGTCAAAAGTGCAAGAAGGGGAAAATTCTACATGCAACAGTTTTTCGAGCATACATTTTGAGCACCATTGATGCCTCTATAAAAAGAAGAGGCAACAGAGCCACTTGTTCGGAGATCGAAATGGCACCGCTCTCTGAATTTCAAAAGCCGGATTTCCTAGATCAAATTCATCAACATTTCTCAGACACAATCTTAGCTT